CTCAGGATTGAGGCGGGGGGGACAGGGGACATTGGCCCCTCTGGGGTACCCAGGAGCGCTGCCCGCCTGGGGGGCTCTGGGGCGAGGGGTGGAAGCGAGCCCCTGCGCCCCGCTGCGAGGGCGGGACGGCCGTCCTCCCCTCCCACACTGTTGGATGCAAAGCAGAGCAGAGAACTTTGAAAAATAAGCACTGGCACCGGAGGAGGGCAAGGAAAAATGAAGCGGAGCCCTTTCCCCACCTTGCCGGGCGCTCTGCCCCCTCTCCAGCGGACAGGCCGTTGGGTCCGAGGCGGCGATGTGTCATCGCTGCCCAAAACTACCTTATTAGGCGAGAAAGTATCGACGAAAATCAGTTCTTTCCTTAAAGCCGTTGCCGCGAGCCGAGGGCTGCCTGCGAGTGCCAGCCTGTGCTCATTCCTTGGGGGATGACTAGACATGAGCTCAGCGGCGTGGCCGGGAGGTGAGAGCATCCTCCCGCCGAACCCACCGGCCCCGGCTCCTGGGAGCGGCAGGGAAAGCTCCAGCTCGTCCCCGAGGCTTGTCCTCTCTCCATCCTACCCCAAATAGCACCCGGGCAAATGTGAGAGCCGAGTATTTTGTGGTGGCAGCTGCAGGTACTGGGGCTGGGGCTAATGATGGGATCGGATGACTCTGCAAAGCGGAGCTCGCCGGGCTCCTGCTGCAGAAGCTGCCGCTCGCTCGGGCGCTGTGCGCGCGGTGCTTTACTCCATCTCAGCCATCCTGGAGCCTGCCTGTGCTTTAGCAGCACATTCCCTTGCCGTGAGGTTATGCTACATTGCTAAAATCCCAGCAAGTTTTACTGGAAGTGTCCACGCCAGCGGCGCGCGGTGTGTGCGACCCCCCCAGGTGCCAGATTTTGGCACGGGCACAGCCGCTACGCTCTCGTCTCACTGGTCACACTGGTGCTGCTGGGGGAGATCGGCCACGGCACAGTGGGCTGTTCCTGTTGGCACTGGAGCAGCTCTCAATTTCGGGGTCTGGGTTTGCGTCCCTTGCTCTTCCTCCGGGGTTTTCTTCACTTGTTTTGGCCCATGCCAAAGCCAACAGTTTGGGGCCAAGCTGTCATCAGGGCGTGCAAGGGCAGCCCTGCCCGGTTTGCACAGCCCCTGGGGGACATGGGGACAGCTGAGCCTGCGGCAGGGCACCCGCGTCTCGCAGGGCAGAGGGGAAGGGCTGGGACCTGTTACACTCCCTGCTCTGGTTCATGTGTCCTCTCCTTTCCAGGGACCTGATGGCAGAGCCCAAGCCCCCTCCAGAGCTGCAGCTGGATGAAGCCGGAGCATCCTCAGCCCCGCGGGGAGCGGCTGCAGGCGCTGCTCCGCACCCAGACCCCTCATGCAGCCCCTTAGACCCAGCGGTGGGTGTGGGGGTGACACCCCGGCACGGGGACAGCCCAGCCGCCTGCCGGGAGCCGCAGGCAGACAGCAGGGATGCTTCCTCAGAGCTAAATGTGCCAGGGCCCCAGCTGGATGAGGATGCATCCGGGGCCGGGATCCCACTGGACGTGGATGTGGCAGGAATCCCGCTGGATGTGGATGCAGGTGGGACGGGGATTCCACTGGACGTGGATGCAGATGCAGTAGAGATCCCACTGGATGTGGATGGAGCAGGGATCCCGCTGGATGTGGATGGAGCGGGGATCCCGCTGGATGTGGATGGAGCAGGGATCCCGCTGGATGTGGATGGAGCAGGGATCCCGCTGGATGTGGAAGCAGGAGGGACAGCGATCCCGCTGGATGTGGATGCAGATGGAGCAGGGATCCCGCTGTACATGGACACAGATGGGGCAGGGATCCCAGCTGATGCCGACGCCGATGGGGGGGCCCCGTGGAGGCGGATGGCGCGGAGCATCAGTGCCTCACCCTCGAAGAGCTGGGGCTCTACTTCCAAGAATGCATCGAAGCCGTCGAGCAGCTGGAGGAAGAGAGAGACAGCCTGATCGCCGAGCTCTCCCAGCTCCGGGAGCCAGCGCTGCAGGAGATCCGCCATGCCCATGAGGAGATCCAGGCAGCCTGCCGGCTGCTGGCCAAGGTGGAGCTGGAGAGGGACAACCTGAAGGATGAGATCCGGCAGATCAAGCAGAAGCTGTTCAAGGTGACGAAGGAGTGCGTGGCGTGCCAGTACCAGCTGGAGAGCCGGCGGCACGACCTCTCCCAGCACGCTGCTTACCAGGGCGAGCTGGAGACCCAGGCTGGGCAGCTCTCCAGCGAACTGTCCCGGCTGAAGGAGACCTGTGAGAAGGAGAAGGAGGTTTTGAGGCAACGGCTGGAGATGCCGCCGTGTCGGCCGGATAACCTGTACCTGCAGGAGAGCCGCCGGCTCTCCATGGAGTTTGAGAGCTTCGTGACGGAGAGCCGGCGGGGTCTGGAGGAGCACTACGAGCCCCAACTGCTGCGGCTCCTGGAGAGACGCAAGGCGGGGGCGAAGGCGCTGCAGGAGATGCAGGGGGAGATCCAGGGGATGAAGGAAGCCCTGCGGCCCTTGCAGGGGGAGGTCAGCCGGCTGCGGCTGCAGAACCGGAGCCTGGAGGAGCAGATCATCCTCGTCAAGCAGAAGCGGGATGAAGAGGTCGGGCAGTACCGGGTACGCGCCCCAGCACCCCTCGCACCCTCTTGGTTAGAGAGCGGGAGTTGTTCCTTGCGGCCGGTGACATGTGGATGCTGAAGGTCTTGCTTGTAGGGCCAAGGGGAGGAGCAGGGTGGGTGAGGAGGGTAAGGAGGTGGAATTATCTCCTGCTGGTTGAAGTCAAAAGCATCCCAAAGGCACCGCACACTTCCTGCAGCTCGTACTAGCACGGGAGCTGAGCTAAGGCACTTGGAAAAAGTCAGATTTAATTGAAGGTGGCTTTTCTTTAAAAGCCCAGCCCTGCCAAGGAAGGGTCTCATCTCCTGTGCCCGCAGCCCAGGGGCCTGGCTGCCTCCC